CGCGCCACGATCGGGCCAAACCAGTCGAAACGGCACGCGGAAGAAGAAGTGTTTCCCGGATTCGAGATTAGACAACAAATCAAACAAACGAGGAATGACTGATTTGAGGACTGTACTAACCAAGTGTACTGTCCTTCCGGTACAGTTGTTAGAGGAGTCCACAGAACTGTACGGTAGTGTCTTCTACTGCTGTAGTTTAAAAAAGGAACTGTTTATTGGTTATTACAGTAAAAGAGTGTTAATTAGTTATTTTATTTTACATCTTTCATCGGACCCCGGTCGTAGGGATAGCAATCGAGAAACAACTCAGCACCGTTTCTGGCTATGACAAAAGTGTTTAGAGTTGAGATCGTGGATATTGTGTTGAAAGAATACAGCACTCGACGAGGAACTACGAGATTCTGAGTGTATATGAATGATCTGGCAGCCCTAAACGCGTAGGTTTGTTCCAGACGCACCCTGAGGTTGAGTATTGCATGAACCGTTCACGTTCCGATCAACTCTTAGTACAATCGGTTCACAACGAGTGACCCAACAAACAAAAAGCAAAAAGATGTAAAACGAAGCTGCAACCGAAAGTCCAGTGTGGTACAGTTAATTCCTGACCGGGTATTTTGTCAAACGTATTGCGCACCGTCTGTAAAGGAAATAAGTGTATGAGAATAATGCAGGATTTGATTTGTTTATATGATGAATTCGTTGTGTAATTGAGGCGTGAGCTGCAAAGCTGGGAAGAACTGGACAAGTGTTTCGACCTGACTGGGTCTCATCGGCAGTGCGAACCCATCGACCAAACTGGGGATCGAACTCGGGACCTCACAAGCAGAGTGAAGGCATACTAGTCACTCGGTCACCGAGCAGATGATCGAACTGCTTTTCATTTTCCATTTACACAATATAGCAAAACTGTGGTGATCCAGACTTCCGTGACCGCAATCCATGCACGACTAGGGAAAAAAATCATGTCATCCAATCACCGTTCACGAAGCTCGACCAATGGTACACTGGGCGAACGTGACATCCGAGTTAGTACATATGATGCGTCGGAGCAAACGGTTACGTAATTGGACGACGGCCCTTCAACCAATCATATGAGATATTTCCTTCTATAAAACATGCTCTAATTCTATCAATAAACGTAAGCATTTGCTGCTATCAATTCCTCGTGTATTTCATTGGTGTCCGCAGTTTGGGTTGGAGCCAATTCAGTTCTGAGCAGTACAGTACGGATTCTAATATACCTATTCTGATTACTACAAGAACCCCTCTGTGCGATCTTGTTTATCGTCATTAAAAATGTCGATTTTCAACATTGTAATTTAATTGGGTGCCATTTCCATCCTCATCACGTTCGGAGAGCAGATGGATATTCCCTCATTCACCCGATAGAGATAAAAATAATTGCAAATACTAAACGGCACAAAATATTGTTTTCCAGGGTCGTGAACTATTCACCCCCAAAACGAGTCAAAATGACCGTTTAATCGTTTCCAATGTGTGTGTGTGTGTGTGGATATTCCTGACTTTCTAATGCTAAATGCGATGGAAATGTTTTGTGGTAACCAATAAAGTGCACTGACAGCCGTTTCATCCTGTTTTGGACTTCAAACTCTTACCCCTGAGCTATACGGCCGACGGTCATCACCTTGTGCGAATGGCTCAATCAAGACCGTCAAGAGTGCCTGGTGCCTCTGAACAATTGAATGGGCTAATCCAAGCTTGATACTCAAAAACTGAAATGTTCTACAAGCACCGATGTGTAGATCACATTCCTACAATACCACTTCGATAAATGGGATGGAGCGAAAAATACCTGATTTAAAGTGTACATTGCTGTAATGCGTCAGAAAATCTCTTGGCTCATCAATTGTGACTCACAGTTCGCGTGACCACCGCTCGTCGGTTATTACCCGCACGGTCAACGCGCGAGTATCAATGACGTCTGTATGTGTTTGTGAAAAAATTCTGATTTTCTAAATATCCTACATTTATCATATTTCCAACAGTAGTAAAGTCAGTTTCAAAATGAAGCTCAACGAATGTGGTGCATTTCTATATGAATTGATTAATTAGGTTCAAAATGCAAATACCAGACATTACTGTTTACTGATTTCAGTATAATACTTTCCTTTCTCACTGGCTCTAATAACCACCTGAAAGCCAAAAAACGAACTACACCAGTTGACAGAATTTCCTTCCCCCTACTTCTAAGGTTTTCGCGACACTTCGAAAACTTTGTTTCTTCCGTATCCGTTAAATAATTTCGACTTCAACTGCGGATGGACTCCAAATTCGTGTACCGACGTGGCTTCTCCTTTTTGTATATTGTTCACTTGTTACCGTTGTTTGCTCTCTTATAGAAATGCTTGAAATGGCTTCGATATGGACTGACCGTCATTAGCCGTGTCTCTTCAATTCCGCTGGATGAGTTGATCCCTTAATTTGAATGCATGTGAAAAGTTTGCACACAAGATTTTTGAGGAAACCACTACTCCATTGCACACAGACTTAATTTCCTGTAGTTGTCATCCGTCTGCCAGATCCGAATACAGTTGGTTTCCCTCACGCTTAGACACATATCGTAACTCCATGATACCCTGTTTAGCATGTATTCAAGTTACCAAACAAAGCGTGTTCACATACATTTCTAAACGTTTCGGGATTTAATTATTTTTTCTCGATTATGACTGAAATGTACGCTTTGTGGTTAAGTAAGTCATAATTACAATTACAATTACGATTCTAACCACCTCAAGGGAAGGCATCATGGCCAAAATATTGTTATTTGTTATTGCAGTAGTGTCAGTCCAATTTTTATTGTATTAGAAATAATCGAGAGTAATTCAGGGTATTTGACTTAATGCTGCGTAAATGCACTTACATTTCCGTCTCCACATGCAGCATAAGAAGTTGCACAGGCCTAGTCTCAAGCACGCACCGAACACGTTTTGAATCCGTAGCTCAACCTCTGCCCTCATTGGTCGACATTCTCTCTGCCCTTCCAATTTCTATATTTAGTAGCTACTCCGGTGCAAGACCTACAGCGAGTGGGCTCGGTCACGTGATTGGCTGAGATGGATATAAAACACACGTGTCACGCGCCTCCGTCCCATTGAGTTCACTATCTCGCTCGTCTCGGCCGCTTGGTCGATCTATCGGAATGCTACTTGCACTAGTCCTGCTTCTGATCGAACTCGTATCAGTCACACGACAAATCACAACAAATACACCTCCCACCCAGGCGGAATGGAGTCGATGGAATGTGATTGTGCCCAATCGAACTGGTCTGACTGGAATGCGATCTTCTGTCCGATCGGATAGAACCAATCGATCTTGTGTACTATATCGTTTCATTTGTTATCGTCATCACTCCCCTCCTTGTTCGAATGATTCACGAACACCGGGTGGTCATTATTATCAACCGAGACCGGATTTGTGTCTTCATCTGAAATCATGTTGGATACGTGTTTGTGGTGATCATGCGAGACGAAGTGTTGTTGGCACGCGAGATGACGTATCGATGCGAGCCAGTGAGATCCGTGTCTCATCGGAACTTGTTTACGAATCGAATGTTGGTGGGCACGAATGGGACCGGTTGCATGGACCCGGTGTGACCGGATGGGGTTTATCCCACACGCTTTGGACAATTCTGTGTATCGGTTGTGTGGTACTTGCTGTTCTCTTCATTCTGTTCTACTTTGTTCGCGTTCGCGGTTGGAATTGGACTAGTATGACAAATGGAGTTGGCTAGATTGCCGATGACACTCATTTATCTGCTGTGAGTCACACCAGGTTGGATTAAATTTGGGTTTATATGTACATTTTTATTCCCCTGACATTATACTCCTTTACATCATATGTTCATTATAACGTCGACTGTATATATTTAAATAGATGCCGTTTCTTCTTCAGCCGTATGTTATTTTGTTTTGCTACGCTTGAGAGTTGAACTAAGCCGAAATGTGTTCTGATCCATTGTAGGTGTAGAAGGTGTTTTCATCCGCATTCAGTACTCATTCTTGCAGTTCTGTTTAAGCCTTTTATGAAGATGCGCTTATTAAAGCCACCGAAAGATAATGGTAGTTGTTACCACTTCAGTACAGAATCATCGTGATGATATATATATATATATATATATATATATCANCTATAGAACGTTAAACATGGGAAAATGGTAGATAAATGGGATCAGAAAATTTTTCTGTGTTTCACCGTACACTTTTTGATTTCGTTTGTTTCGTAGTTTGAAACACTCTTTAAACCTATTGATTAAGCTCTCAGAATGTGGTTGAATACAGTACACATTCTATAGTGGTAATAATCATTTAGTAAATTAGACAAGCCTGATTGAGTCATTGGTTTAGGCATACTATAGAATGATATCGTCAGTTTACCGGGAAAGTGAGGATCTGAAACGCTGAGGCATGAACGGCAGGCAGTACAGTGCGTCTGGAAGCGGACGGCTGAAATTCATCCGGGTAACCAGCTGATCAAAAAGTGCTCTGCCAAACATCGAGTGATGCACAGATTAAGAAAAGTAGATCGCATTAAAGCCAAAGTTGCACGGGCGCACTATCAGACACAGGAGAAAGACAAATTCCCGGCCCACCAGATTCATTCACCTTGAACCGGGCCGTGGTCAGTGATTGAGTGACTTTCATCATGAACCTTTAAGTCTACTTCCAGATCACGAGAAACTTCGCATGCTAAACTCACCGGCATTCTTTTCGTAAACGCACTATCTCCGTCTTCCTGGATTTGCAAGCGGTCTTTCACTCAGTCGACCGCCCTAAACTCTCGCGCAGCCCTGCTCTGAAGGGTGTGTCCGAGAAGTTCATTTCAATCTTACAATCCCTTTATACTTACAGCTGAAGTCGAGTCCGAGCTTACGACATTTTTACAACCGACTTCACCACGGAAAGTGGTGTTCGTCAGGGTTGCCCTCTTTCTCCTTTTCTATTTAACTTTGTTAGGGATTGGATTATGGAAACAACCCTATCCTCGCGCGAGGATAGTGGCATCGATTTACTCCCAGATGGTAGACTGTCTGAGCTGGAGTATGCATACAACATTGTGCTGTTAGGTGAAGATCCAGGTAAGTCACAAGCTTTTCTGGATAGCTTGAGTGCCACTGTAACCATGATCGGTATGTATTTTGCACCTTCAAAGTGTAAAATGTTGCTTCAGGACTTGGTTGGTCCAGCACAGTTTCACTCTAACTGGATAAGTAACTCAGTTTCAGTTTCAGTTTGAACAACCATTAACCATGCACTTTCGTGCGCCGGTTTTGGTTGCCGTCTTTTGGCTGCCCATTGGGATGAAGAATAGGAGAAGAAAGGAAAGTTGAAAGTGGATTCGAAAGGAAAATGGAGAAGTTCAGTGGACTAAGGTTGGGAAGAAATTGAGGAGATGCACGAACGCCACTGTTTACGACACCCAGCCATATCGCTCAGTGTCTCTAACCATCGGTTACGATCATCCCGTGGTCCCCAGCCAGGGAACCTAACGGGACCTATGTGACCCAGTTTCCTGGTTATGGTTTTCATACCCTCGTGCCAGGTCTTAACTTGACCACCCTTGGCTTTTTTCCACTCTGTATCTGCTTCGGCGAACGTCGCT